GCTCCTGCAATTGCAAGTGCGGTATTTCCCCCACAGACCACCAGGGCGGCCGAGAATACCTTTGTTCAACCTGAAATGACTCATTTAATCATCCAAAACGTTATGGAACACATTAATTAACTGAAAAATGTTGCATAGTGTGCCTTTAAAGCTTTCCTTTTGGGTATTACAGGTAAACAAAAACCAAACAGCCCCCATTCCAAAGGGGCAAACTCGCTGGTCAAGTTTAGTTTGCAATTTTTCTAAGCAAAAACAAGGCTATGTTTTGGTCCACCCTATAAAGCCTCAAACACAATGAAATTTCTGACATTTTGAATTGGAAAACGCTTCCTGGATGGGAAGCGAAACATCTTTAAAGGGGGAAACTAAGTCCAGTGGATTGTTTGAAGATTTTTGGAATGACTAAGATCTGGATGACTGAGAATCTTTACCAGCATAAGAAAAACTACACTGAAGTTTAAATGACTCATCACCTGTGAGACCCAATAGTTATTTATGTCGTGCATTTTTGATATTTTCAGGGATTTTAGCTCTAAAATATAACAGCTGGCCTTTAAGCAGAAAGAAAATTTACTAATCCAATATAATCTTCATACACTGAATAAATTTATCAAGACGCCTGTGGTAAGTTTACATTTTAATATTTCAAAATCAATTTATGAATTTAGTAATTTAGGAAACTGCTCATTTCTTTCTAGATAAGCAGAAAAATTCCATCAAATAATAAGCACCATCCCAAAATCCAATTTGCTTGTATAGCGATGCATGTGTAACAGCAGAAAAGGCTGACCGGATTGTACCATAATCCTTTGCAATCAGGCAAACAAGACACCATCTGCCACCACCGAGCCCAGCATTGGCTGCAGGAAGGTGTCAAGGGCGTCGCCTGCCTCTGAGCAGCCAGCAGAGCTGTTTGAAATCACAGGTCCGTGCATCAAAGGGCAGAGAGGGCTCCAGGCAGGTTTGACTAGTGACAAATCAAATGTGTCCCAAAAAGAGAAACAAAAAAACCTACATTTTACTTCAATGGTGGCGTTAGCAGAAGGAGCCATGTCAAAGGTGTAGACACACATGTAGATGCCGGCGTCATCTCCTCTTGGTCTTTTGAGCCTGCGGTTCAGAAAGAGGAAACCTCTAGCTTACAACCAGCAGGCTGCAAAATATTATCTTTGCAAAAAACGTTTTGACTTTTCTACCTGTATTCAATGTATTTGTTTGAGGTGCGCGTGTCAGCGATCTCCTCCCCATTCTTCATCCAGTAGCTCTCCTGGGGGGTACTGTAGGCGCTGGTCAGGTTGCACCTCAAAAAGACCTCCTCCTCTTCTCGAGTAATGGTGAACGGCTCAGAGGCCACAATCGATGGCTCTGTAACAAAGAGAGAGCTCAGCACAGAAAAATGGGACGGAGTAAAACGTCCTGCCTGGACAGCACTATGCATTCGAGGCTAGAATCCAGATATTACACCTTTAGAGACAACAGGAAAATATAATTAATAGGGATGCAAGATATAATCGGCCCCCTATCGGTATCGGCCTTAAAACTGAATATCGGACATCGGCC